ATTTAAAGGTTTGCTTTTGGGGAATTGGCTTATAGGTATATGTATATGCATTAGAATGGTTCAGGATGGGCAGCAGGGGTTAACCGATTTCTAAAAGTCTGAGTCTTAGTCACACAGGCTTGGAAGCAGACAGGCTATCTAACTCAACAAGGCCAACAAGAACACATAGTCTGAAAAACAGTCTGGGAACAGAACAAGTATGTACTACACTGCCCATAACACGAGATAAGTGGCACCAGCTAACAAAGCCCTAGAGCAGGGGGTCTGAGTCCCAGTTTTGGGGGAACAGACCAAATTAGGAAAAGGCCCGGAAAGACCAAATTAGTATGAGCACATGTGATAAGCTATGTGGATGCGTGACCACACAGAGAGACAACCAACCAGAGATAGCCACAGATCAAGAATCATCAGAAGTCATCAGAGGGGAAGGAGAATACAAAAGCAGAGACCTGAGACTAACAAATGGTCCCTCCCCATCCCTCTCCCCAAGAAGGTCCCTGAGAGAGATCCCTTTGTCCCCGGGAAGGGTCCCCAAAGTCACCATGGACAGAGGACATACCACCAGCCCGTCTCATCCACCCCACTGGAGGGAGGAGTATGGGCCTTGGCATCCCACCTCCAGACTGCTTACATCTGACACCTAAGAGACAGCCTCAATGTGAAGACTGCATCCTGGCCAGATGTACTTTGACTCTGATGACGCCCTTGGATTTGGTAGATATATAGAACTGCTTGATTGTTTTTCTGTTATCACTGCGTATCAATAAATTTGACTATTATCGAATGGAGAGGTCATGGTCGGTTTGAGGGTGGGTGGGTTCCACCCCCCTCCCCACCTACCTGCCTCTGAACAAGGCCTCTGGGTCCTAAATCCAGAGCGAACACTGTGCAGAATACCAATATACATTAAGGCTGTTAAACTGAAGTCTAGTTAACCAAGCCACCCTATGACTTCCAGTTCAATCACAGTATAAGCACATGCAGCAGGTTTGTAGTGTGAATTCCCCCTCCTTCCATCCACCCTCCTGGATCTTTGCACATTTGCACTGCAGGACAAAATCAGGCTCCAATCTACCAAAGTGGTAGAAGCAGATCTAGCCTGCATGAAACTCTACGCTGCTACAGCTAGATTACTTCCAAAACCAGTGCTAGCTTGGGTATCTCCATTCTATACCACATCCCCGGAAATGTTCAAGAGCAGGTTAAACAAACACTTGACTAAGACAATCCTGGCTTGAGGTCCACATGAGGTTGCTTCCAGCCCTTCTTTCCTATGATCCCACTGTGCAGCGCAGGCACACCCCTTGACTTCAATGAAGCTACTTGGTAAGCATATGCTTAAATGCTTCTCTGGGCCAAGGTGAAGACTCTCCTTTCTTTAATGCTTTCCAGCGACAGTGACCCACAGTGTTGTCTACTGTAAGGTGGCAAACTGATTCCTCCACCCTGTGATCTGAAGTTGTGTTTTGTCAAAGTTGGAGGTATTCTCCCCTCAGACCAGTAAGAACATGCAAACCGGACAACATTGTCTCCCATTTCAGAGAGCTATATGCAAAGAAAGGGAACAAAGGCTCTTGTAAAACACAGGAGCCATGCACGAAAGCCAAGAGGAATCACCAGGCCCAGGAAGGTCCCTGCAGGTACTTTGCTAGTATGATGCAAAACAGCTAGACAGAAGGCTATGACTAGTGTGATGGGATGGTCTAGTGGCTAGTGACATTGACCTGGGATTTAGGACACATGAACTCTACCCCCAGCTCACCTAGAGCTCTTCTGTTACCCTGGGCATGTCATTTTCCTGACCCTGTGTGTCAGTTGTTCAACTGTAAAATACAAACTAATCCTTCCCTTCCTCAGGGGGGCATTGTGAGGCTAAAAATCCTGTAAAGACAGAAAAGTGTTCAGCTAGCACAGTAATGGGGAGCATACTACCCTTTTGGAAGATCAGAGCCACCCTGATTTCACCAGTTCAAATTGTGACTCATGTGTCAGGGATCATGTTTTACCATCAATATAGAGTCTCATGGGGGGAGGGGGGGCACGAGGGAAGGACTAAAATGTTTAAGGTTTGGTTTGGCCATTTACTTTTTTTTTTTCTCCAGGACTAATCAAGCAGAAAAGATGGAGGAGAAACCTGCCCTCAGGCTGCAATCTGGAAGAGATATTGACATTCTCATTAGGGCAGGCTTCATTAAACAGCCCATCCCTGGCCTCAGCAACACATTGTCTCCAGCTAATTATCTTCTACCAGCAAAGAACTGTACAATTCTTCAGATTCTTCCCATTCTTCCCTCACAAACAGATCTATTTTTCCCTTTCTCCTTTGATTTCCCTGAAATTCTTTCCTGAGCTTCTGCAGAGAAGAGAATAGGAGGGCAGCAGAGGAGGGAGGAAGGAACAGAGAATCCACACTCAGGGGGGCTCATGCTTATTATATTCACAGCCGCCTGCACTCATGCTTGCTAAATCAAAGCTACTCGGCTGTGGTTTCACTGGTGGTGAGCCAAAAGCAGTGGCAAAAAGCACCAGTGTCTGCATACTGGGATAGTGGCATACCATGCAGAGAAAAGCAAGATGTCTGGGAATTAAGATACTGTAGGAGAACAAAAACAGAGGAAAACTGTATTTCCCTCAAATCCTTTTGATCGAGCCTCACATCACTGGTCCATATAGACCATGCAGTAGCCTGCCTCCCCCTTTATGTCTCCAGTTTTGAGCTGTGGACACCCTGAGCTCAGACCTGCCCAGAGGGACTGGTTAGTGCTACTTTGCCTCCTGGATTCTGGAGGCTCCTGGGGACTGAAAAAGACTCCAGAATAAAACCAGAGCAAGCACAGCTTATGCACATAGGCACAGTCTAGAGAGAACTTCATTGACTTTTTTCCAAGCTGATTAGTTAAGCTGCATTAAGCACCTGTATGGACACACATTCAAAATTCACATGGCCTTCATTTCGTTTAGCTTAATATAAGAATGGACAAATTTAATCTATGATATGTTGAATGAAAGCCACTTGAAATCTGAAAAGTGTCCACATGCAGCTTCCAGGAGCAAGACTGGCTGCAGGGGGAACCCCCCAATCAGCGAGATTAGCCGTGGGTGGACTCCTCCCTCCCCCGGTCACTGGGGGGACACATACCCCCCTGACTAAGGTGGCCTCAGTCGCCCATGGCCACATGCACATTTAGAACTAGCCCACTTTTAAAAAGTCAGCTCAGATTCACTTTCCTGAGTGGTCCTGAGGGCTCGTCTACATACGCACAACTTCATTTTTCCACCGTGCAATGGCTCTCTACAGAGCTGTCCAGCTACTGAATGTGGCTGGATCAGTGGGTCCTAGACACCTGTCTACACCCACAGAGTATTCACATGAACGTATGCTACCAGCCACCCTTCACTATGGTAAGGGTATTCTTTGGTGAGAGCTTGGTTAGTTCTGCAATCCTCAGGCTATCAGAGGTGGCATAAAGGGGCAGCCAGAGATCTCAAAGCAAGGGCCCACGCATCAGAGGACAGTGAAAAAATAAGTCTACCCTCCTAGGCAATCAGAGAGGAGAATCCCAAGTTAGCTATCAGTGTATGCCCTACAGTGGGGGGTACCAGTGCTCTTAGGACTCCCAGAACAGTCATGACCCTGAACTCTGCCAGTCCCTCTTATTTCTATGGTGCTGTTGCCCCCCAACCCCCAACTAAGAGCAGCAAGTGAGAAATGTTCCACAGGCAATGTGAAGTTTAATGCCGGGACAAGGCAAAAGCATTTCGGATTTCAGTGAACTTTGATTAAGAAACTGAGGTTCGGCAGCTTGCCTGTGAAAGACTCACTAGAGGAATGGCTGCTGTGGAAGTTAGGGACTTAAATATCGATAAAAAATATCCATTTAACCTATTGTAATTACAACAGTTAAATGATTAATTGCTAAGGGCAAGGTGGGGCGGGGGGTGGGGAGAAGAGGGTCTAGTACCTAATAGCTAGGCTCTGTGGACCCAGTGCAGCCACTTGCAGCCTCCCCACTGCCTGCCGCGAGCAGCCTAGACTCCATGGTGGGCAGCAAGGGCCTGCCCAGAGCCCAGGCTGCTCGTGGCGAGCAGCAGGGAGATTGCAAGTGGCTGCACTGGGATGCGCGGAGCCTAGCTATAGGTACTAGCCCCATTCACTCCTCTTTCCTTCCCACCTGCCCTGCTGCCTTCTGGTTCCTGCTGGGGCATCACATGGCTTCCCTTTCCCCCCTTCCCTGCCAGACTGCGCCCCAGGCTAAACGATAACCGGTAAACTATAACCAGTTATCACTAGGCTTATCAGTTAAATGGCTAATCGCTTAACCAGTCACATCCCTAATGGAAATATGGCCTGCTGCTAATCAACAGATCTCCTTTCAGGAAACAAATTCTCAGCAGATCCCATAAAAAGGGGCATATTGCACATCAGCCACTAACCATGACGCAGTGCAACTTCTAACAACCTCTCTGAGGTTTCTGCGTATACATCAGTTCTTCAGCCATGACATCTAGACTAGAATAATAGCCCTTGCAGTTTTACCTGGAGATGGTATTCCTCTTTGCTCTCTGGCCTAAGTTGTTACAGAGCACTGCTGCAAATGGTCGCCTGACTCTACCGTGAAAATGGCTGGACTCCAACAGAGGGTGAAACCATTTCCAACTTTAATTCTGTAAGGTGTTTGGAGGCTCCCAAAAGGAAGGACACCAAAATTCTCAATGGTAAATCACCATCACTACCACCACATCAGGGAACTCTTTACAGACAAGGTATGTTAGATGTTGTATGAAAATAGAAAAGGGAGATTTTTCAGGAGCACAAAGGTAACATAAGGGTCATATATTTCATAAGGCATTGAGGCACCTAAATCTCACCTATTTCAAGAGATATTAAGCACCTAAATGTATTTAAAACTCTGGTCCCACATCCTTCTGAATGTAAATGAAGTAGGATGCCTGTCACCCAGAGAGAGGCACCACATCTTTGAAGATACGAGAGCACCTACCATGACTGAGATGTGAAGGATCCTTAGCTCTTCTTCCGCTGACTCTGTCTGGGGTTCTTCAGTGGGGTCCAAGCCAGGAAGACTGGGGGCACCATCTTGGTGGTGGATATGGAAAAGCAAAGTACCATTTTCCAGCCACTGCTGCCTCCAACGCACCAAGGGAATGTCTTCCGTGTTCCCAGAGATCTCTGGAAAAAGAAAACAGGGTTGATACATTAACACAGAGATGCCATGCAAAAAATCTTGTAACCCAGTGGTTTTCAAGCTTTTTAGATTCAAGGCACCCCTGTATAACTTGAGCAGCATCCCATTTTAAAGACTGATTTATTACAGAGCTTACCTCCTTGCAGAGGGGCAGGCAGTGGAGTCAAGGAGCAGCCAGGCAGGGAAAGCCTGAGTCTGCTCTTATCTCCTCACATCTCACTTCTCTCTGTACCCTTCAAAGGATCTCATGGCACTCCAGGGTGTCCCATCATCTTGGCTCAGAATCAGTACCCTAACCCAGTGTGCTTCTTTCTAAGGAATCATTACAGTGAGTGACCTACTTCTGGCTGAGCCAGGCACAAGCAGGCCAGCGGGGGAACATCAAGCATATCAGGACAGCAGAAAACTGTTGCACTTGAGCCTTGCAGGCTCACTACCATCCTTTTCACTGCATGCTATCAATGGCTCATATAATCCCAAAAAGCAAACACATAATTGCTTCCTTCCTCTAAACTGCAGTGTAAGGTAGCTGCAACTGGTAGGAGGATTTACCAAATATATCTGCCAAAGAGCCTGTCAGTTATGGCTGTGAAAGTACCTGGCACTTACTATCTATTGAGAAAAAGGAGGCCTGGCAGCATATTTCTGGCCCTCATTCAGCAAAGACCCAAAGCATATGCTTCTACTCCCACAGCATTCAGGGGGAATATGCACCAACTCACTTTGGACACAGAGACATGGAGCTGTGCTGCATTTTCAATTTTAAGATGACAGGAAAAAGGACTCAGTGAATCTCGCTAGCCAAAACGGGCTCATGGCAGAGAACAGACAAGGCACTCTTAGTCTCATCTCCACCGAAGCACAGCAGAGAAAAGGCCTAGTGTTCCTTGGAGTGCTAGTCCGTGGAAGTCCACGGCAGTCTGAAAGCTGACAGGTAAGGTACCTTGGGACTCCCCAGTAATGTTAAGACTGCCTCTGTGCAAGCAAAGTAGCTCAGAGCACCACCCACCTCCAGTGCTTCCTCACTCAACCCCAGCATACCTTACATAAAACGCTTTGGGACAGAGCATGAGACAGTATAAGCCAGGAGTGGTCAACCTGCAGCACAGGTGCCACAAGGGGCACAGGCAGCCCCTGTGGGTGGCACAGCAGCACGGGGGGTGGGGGAGGAAACAGTAGCAGATAGTCCAGGGAGCAAAAAGCAGAGCATCAGATCAGGTTGAGGGCACAGGGAAGGAAGCAGAAAACAGCACAGGTAAAGGAAAGGCATCCAAGTGGCGCTCAGGGAGGGTGCAGGGCAGGTTTTGTAGCACACCTGCCAAAAGATTTGGCCCTTGCTGGTATAAACTGTCATAGTTCTATCAGCACCAGTTTCAACAGAGCTACAAGACTTGTACCAGGACAAACTCACCCAATATCTCAAGTGCTGCTTTTTCCTAATATTAATCTGAGACACTGACTCCAGCTGCACTTACACCTACAAGGGACAGTCTAGAGCAACGGTGCTCAGCCTCTGGCCCAAGGGCTGATTTGGCCTATAAGAGTGTGTCATCTGGCCATTCCCCACAGGTCCAGAAATTTGGCAGAAGGGAGAACAGGGGCAGAATTAATTGCCACAGCTTTGAAAGCCATGGTAGTTAACACTGCCGTCAGTCCCCAGCCCTATTAAATTTCTGGACCAATCGGGAACCACATGGGCCGGAAGATAATATGGTCCTGTGCACACAGACCAGTCCTGCACCACTCATCCAACCTGTGGGGCTGGAAGGTTGAGCACCACTGATCCGGAGAATGTATCCAAACCTTGAAGCGCAGAGAGCAAAGCATAGCATTCATCACCCTTCAAACAGACCCCAAGGATGGGAGAGGTTTTGGGGCTCTGATGAATACTTTCCTCCATCTCCTTTCCCAGCAGGCAACCTTGCATGAGAGGGCCTTGTTACCTGGTAAGTTTAGGTGGTTTCCGGAGTGCTTAACCTATGGACTGGCTGCACATTAACACCTTTTAAGTGGCTTAAAGAACTCGTTATTAGATTTAAAGTTATGCCAGGGCAGGATTATCTCCAATCTGCCTAATTTTGTTTCTGTTCCATTACTATCTGGCCACCTCCTACAGCTAATCTGACCAAGCTGAAGTCCTCCAGGATCCCAGAATGCCGGGCCCCTCCTGACTCAGGGTGAGTGTGGACACCGGGACACAGCAGCACTGGGCACAGTGCCTCATGCCTCACACCCCAGGGATGTTGGACAGAGCGAGTGACACAGCCCTGGAGTACCCAGCAGCTGTGGTACCTGCTGCCACCACCCAGGCTGGCTCTGCTCCTGTCAGCGGTACAGGGAGCTATGCTCCCACCAGCAAGGGCACAGGGGAGAGGTGCTGCCTGAACTTCAGAGAAAAAAGGATTGGGCCCCGCAGAGTGAACGAGCTCCAGGGATGCAGCCTGGCTCTGTACTGAGAGCGGGGTCACCAGGCTTACTCCCTGACAGCCCTGCTCTCAGCACGGAGCCACCACAGCTTGATGAGACCAGAGAGCCCCAGGGAAGCAGCTTGACATCACAGTACTGCAGCAGCTTTGTGCTGAGAGCAGGGCTGCCAGGGCTTAAGCACGAGACGGAAGATCCCCAGGGTCTCGCTGCAACTGACAGTGGTGGGCCACTTTCTGCCCAGCAAGAAGAGCGGATGAGTCCTGCTGCTGCTCACCAAGCCTCTAGTGGCAAGTCTCAGCTGTGTGGGTGAAAGACAGTCAGAACAGGTTTTTCGCTTTACCATGCAAATCCTCCACTAAGCCGAACAACACTAAGCCAATTAACATTTGTTTGGCTTAGCGCAAGGTCTAACAAGGCCCAGACTTATACTTAGCCAGTGGTTGTTGCTGCTGCCTGCAAACATATGACTTTTGGCTCATGTACAAGCCAACAGGCTACCAAGTATCAGTCCACCCAGGCACAGCCTAATCTGTTTACTTTACTAGTTAAAGGCCCATCTAGCTAGAAATAAAACTCTGCTGTAATGCTATTTGCAAAAGTCTCCTTCATAAGAGGAGCAGTGAGTGCCATGCACTAGTTGAGCAACTAGAGCATGATCAAAATCGTTGTTTGGTCCCCTGTTCCACACAAAATAACAACACTGTCAACCTTCAGATAAGCCATTTTTCTTGCAAGGGCTGGAGGGGTGGAGGGCAGGGGAAGAGGTAGTGTGCCCTACCTTACCTCGAAATTTAACATGGTATATACTAAACTTCACGGCAATCCAAGCAAGCATGTAGTGTATTAACTCTAAGTGCTCTATCTTTAAATTTAAAAAAGAGGAATACATTCTTGCCTATACAGCATGGCTGGTGCTCTGCTACAAAGCTATCAAGGTGGCAAAGGGGTGAAAGCCCTAAAGCTACCTACAGCTAGTAGTGACTTTTTTTTTACCTCCACAGGAAGAAGAGGTCTGTGTTATAGCAGCAGATGATTGATATTTTATTCCCCTGGCTGCATATGTGTTTTATCTAGAGACTATGGTTACTGCAAGATGAAGCATTTTAATTGTTATTTAGATCAGCAAAACAGGAAGCTTGGACTTAAATAATTTATTTAAATCCTGGTTAAACATGAACTTTGAAACTTACTTTCTCTTCAAATGGCATGATCTTTAGAACAGTTTGAATTTTACAACCCAATATAGCTTTCGCACTACACTTCCTGCTCTTTTCTTGCTAGCTCTACACATTTAACTTCCTCACTTATTTACATTTTAATACATTGGAAAATGGCAAAACAATGTTTTTGTTTTGGGGGTTGTTTTGTTTTGTTTTTTTAAACTAAAACACATTTGTCAGGATTTGCGTCAAGCTATATTTGAATGGAACCTGGAATTAGATTAAAATGCACAGAAGACATAATTTTGTTTATTTAATTTATTTATTTATTGTTATTAAGGGAAAAATAAGCTAGAATGTTCTGGATATGGCGGGGGAGGAAGGGAGAGTGCATCTATCTGCACCTGTTCTGCATTTCAAAACTAATCTGATTAAATTAAAAGAAATATTCAGTACAATCTTCAGTTCTTTTCCTCTCACCATGGGCCAAATTATCAGAGGCATTTACATGCCTAAAGATACAAGCAGATGCCTAGTGGGATTTTCAAAAGTGCTTAAGCAGGGTAAGTTTATAACTCCAACTTACTTTTTGATTCTCTTTGAGTTCATGAAAGGGAGACATCTAACCTGCTCATGAACTTTTGAAAATTCCACCGGGCACTTACATGCATCTTTAGGCAAGTAAATATCTTTTGAAAGTCTGGTCACATGTGTTTTGGATTTTAAAATTCGCAGCTCTCTTCCGCTCCCACCTGGCTTTTTATTCATAGGCTAGAAGAACACAAAACTTCCCTGCTTTTTTTCAACTCCCAATTGGTTTCTTAACTTCGAATGAACTAGCACAACATGAAGAAAATATCCTCCCTGCACCTGCTAGCTAATATGAAATTAAAAGTAATTAAGGCAAAAGCTTTTATGCACAACAGGAACTGAAAGTACTGACATTTGGAAAAAATGTAAATACCGGCATTTCCTCCATTGTAAAAACTGAAAATAATAGATACTTAGTGCAGCACATAACATTATGACATTTATAAAGTTTGATTTGTCCTCAGAAGTTACAGATATATTTCATCCCTAATTCTGTATATTATTGAGTAATATGCCCCCTTCAACTCATTAACAGTTGATGAGAGCTCATTGGTAGAGATAATTTAAATGATTAATAGAGTACAGTAAATTCAGGCCTCATCACAGGTTGTCATAATTTCAAATTTATTTTAGAGAGACAAATGTGGTTAGATTTTTAAAAAACGGATTTACATTAAAAAGAAGCCTATTTTTTAATCCACCAAGCCATGTTGTATCCTCTTTCTACATACACACATACCATCACCCTCTCCATATACACCTCTTATGCAGAGGCACCCCAATTACTAGAAAATACTAAGAGACAA